CCCTCGGCCGCACCAAACCGTTGGAGAACCCAGACAACCAGAACCCAGAACCCAGAACCTCAGCCATTGGGAATCTTATCCGGCTGACCTCTGCTTGCCTGCATCTTGCCTGTCCGACGTACGTAGCCTCTTCGTTTGTTGGGTGCGTACAGCCAACCCGCAGGTCACGAGGCACCGCATTACCTAATTCCCGGCCCCAGATCATCACCACGCCCCTTGGCTCCAAGCTTGCACCGCATCGCGACGGTACTCGAGTTACCCTTACTTTCCGCCATGATGTAAGCATCGTCATGGCGCTGCTGCGGATGCTCGCCGTCCCCCCTTCCCCGGTATCTAGCTCTCTAGCTCGACCCCCGACTCAGACCGCAAAATACGTGCACCCCGAGAAACGGACTCACCCACTCCATTCCATTCCAGCAATGTCTCTGAGCCGACGCGACAAAGCGTCCGCCCGTTGATTCCGAAACTCTTGCCCCGGCACGTTGTTCCTTCTGTCCATTTTACAGGCTCGTCCCAATAGCAAAGACCCCCATGTCTTGACCATTGGATTGCCATCTATCAGATGAGAATTCCATTGGCAGAATGCCACTGGGCGAACCGAAAACGACCTTGGACGGCCACCGCGAATGTCGGCCTGTTCGGCCGCTCATCCAAGTCGCCTCTCATTCGCCCGTCTCTCCTGCAAAGGAGGCCTCGGAATGGTCGCCCTTTGAGCGCGTCCTTGACCGTTCTTCTTGCCGAACCCCCTAATGTCTCCCAAGAAATACACCGGTGCAACTCCTCGGAGCGGCCCAACCCTACGCCCACTCTCTGGCGGGTGGGCTCCCAGATATGCCAACGGTGCACCTCCGAGAAGCGTGCCGGTGCAACACACCCACTCGCCAGACCGTTCCATCCATTCGTTCTCCCCAGATGACAGATGGTGCCATCTTCGAGTCAAGTCGAGCAAGCCGAAAAACGAGCAAGCAAACTGCCACGCAACGCCAACTGTCACGATCAAACAACAGAGAAGTTGGCTCGGTTTGACAGACAGCTGCAAGCTCGCATGACCACTTCATCACCACGTCGCCCCTTTTTGCTGGACATACAGCTGTCGTCTCGATAACGAACCGTCGAACCCACCACTGTCGCCATTGTTCCACGGCATCAGATCGCACAGTGACACAGGCGTCGTCGTCAGAACCGGTCAACGGCTCAACGCTGAAAATGAGGCCGCTAACCAGCCCCATCGGCGCCATTGGCCTTCTCTTCTAATCTATCAATCCTGGGTCAAATCAGCAAGGTTCACATCCACATCCCAAACCCCCCCGTCGCTCGCCTCGAATCAACACCCTCCCTCCCTGTTTCGTCGGTCTGCGGAATAGTTTCCCCGCCAAAGGCAGTCGAGACGGGACGGAGCGTCTATCCACGGTCTAAGCCAGACGCAAGTCGCTTTTCTGACACGTCTCAAAAATTGTCTATCCCATATGCTAATCATTGCAGACTTCGAGAGGCTCCAGGTCCCGTCTGCCCGTCCGTTGCAATAACCTGGCAGCAACAAGCTTGCGCCAAGCCCCTGGCTCAATCCGTTCATCAGAACTTCCATGGGCCCGCCGTCGCCAATCATCCAACAACGTGCTCCCCAGACCGCCTCAGAGCGGCCCAATCCACAGACGACATCCCACTCGGCCACATCTGACTTGATCTTATCTTCAATCCAAGGCCAGCAGCAACTCAGTCAACCCCAGCGGCCCCTCATGGCTGTTGCTTCTTCTGCCCGTGGGCTGCGAAAGTCACTGACCAAGACTTGTTGGATGCGTCTGCATGCGATGCAGTGTGCTACATCTCTGGGACCCGCGCGAATCTGTGTCATCGGTCAAATGGCCCGGGCACAAGATCCTTCCGCAGACTATCCACAACGACGGCTCACTCAGCCCGATGTATCGTCTCTAAATCTACCACCCGCCGACTCGCCCTTGATTCTTGACAATATGGCGTGCTTCTGGCGTCTTGACAAGCTGAGCCGCGAAAGCCACCCCAGGGCGTCACAGCATCGCCCGGGCCGGTTCATATCCCTCTTATCGACTTTTACCTCGAGTCTCCCCGTGTCGTGGACTCTTTCTTTTTGTTTTACTGACAGCTAATCACATTTCAAAGGCTGCATTGCTTTTCTCCCGTAGGTTCAAACCCATGTGTTCCGAGCTTGCTCAACCCCTGCATCGTGCAGGCCTCATTCGTTCCTGGATAGACATTCGCAATATTCAACAGGGCTCACGAGTTGGGAAACAAAACCTAGTCTACTAGCTTGGAGGCTCTGCCGGAAACCGTGCCTCCTTCCCCGGACTGCCGGCATGGCGGAGCTGATTCAATGCCGCCACCGTTCCTGAATCTCACTGCCCCTGGCGATCGTTCTGAAACCTGGGGGCACACCTTGCACTCACCGCAAAAACGTCAAATTGAGCCTTTGCCGAATCCATGCTCTCGGTGACGAAGGCGTCATGTCGTGGAACTCTCCATCCCAATTATACGACCACATGTGCCGGCAACCGAAGACTCGACTTGACTCCTTTTCCCCTTGCCCCGTTCCACACAGGACGATCACTCAACTCGGAGGGGCCGCACAGGGCTGCATTGACCTCTTTGGATCATCCAAGGAGAAGCCGGGGATCCGCCATGTGGTCGCGCTCCGGAGCCCACACCGTCGCCTCGTTTTCCATTCTGGACGTCTCATTCCCAGGAACCAGCTCGCCGGGCGCGGGATCCTTGAACCTAGGTGAGCTGGGTCGGTGACATCTCGAATGCCATGTAACTTGAATTAGATTTGGTCTCTTTTGATATAGCTACTCCCAATCCCGGGGACCTCTAAACATTCATCGCAGGCATTGTTCAAGGTTGAGGAACCCTCGGGAGGACCTGGTCCTGGACCGTGACCGAGACAAAAAGCAATTATGTTTAACGATTTTCGGTCTCGGCGGCAGGCATCTGGGCTCATTGTCGCGCCACGTGTGTAATCCCAAGACGGGCCAGTCGGGTCACGTCCGGGTCACCACGTTGATGTCTTTGTGCTAGGCCATGGGGCATGTTTGTAGATTGCAATTGTAAACCACCTCCAAGTCTCAGCTGGCAGGTGCTAACAAGCTATGTTGCTGTCCGTTGATGGAACCCCCGATAGCGATCTTGGATTCGCTCAAGGACTTGAGCTTGCTGTTCCGTTTCTGCCGTTCAGAAAACACGTGTTTGTATCAGCTCTTAGGGGCCCTTGCTCGTGAGACATGGCCCATTGCTTCGCGACTTACCTGGCGATCTTTTCCAGGTATCACAAGCTTTGCTTCAGAATCTTCCACGATGAGAGCTAGTTGTTATCACGTCTCTCAGGTATTGAATACGGTGTTAATTCTGGTGCTCTTGAATGAGCTATCCTATCTCGTGAAGCAAAGTCTACAGTAACGTTGCGGTAGCCGTGATTTAGACGTAGGAGGGCCCCAAGCTCGTTGACCGTCGAATCTAGACTGGGTATAAGTAGGTAGGTATTCTGTTCCTCGCTTCTGAACCAATTTCCACAACAAATGAGTGAGGAATGAGCGAGGATCTTTGAGATTGCTGCCAAGGATAGCAGCAGGTTCTATGGCTCTATGCAGTTACAAAACCAGAGTAATGAAGTCATTTTGTGAGTGCGTATATTTCCCATACCCCGTAGCTCGCTCGGATCGACATTGTATTCGGCGCGAATACGGCACGGAAAGGAACGAAATTTTATGATGAGAAGCAGAGATGGGACAGCGTGGCTGGATTGTTGGCGCCTGGGTCGGCTCTGAGCAGCGTGGGGGCGACAAGAAGACCTTCATTATGCCCATCCAAGATGAAGGCGAGATTGCAGATCTTCTATTGCGGTGACACGGCCATTACAAACGACTGAGGCTTTCCAATTTATACTTTTGAACGAGGGCTTCGGCCTTAGAACTGCTTTTTCATTGCGAAAAGCTGCGATGGAGTTGAAGATTCTTGCCTGAGGTTGTCCAGGAAGGGACCTACCAAGGCCTGCTTGTGTATAAGATAGCAGTTTGAACCATCGTGTAATATTGCAGCAAAGATAAATTTGTTATGTACGCGTCGAGCATCAGCGGTCGTGGTGAGAGTTTGTTTCCCAACAGGTCTGCGCGCAGAAGTCATGCTAGATTGCATAAATCTGGTCTGGCTTGCTTGTATTTGAGTAGGATACACTGACAACGGAGCGGGAAGGAGAATGATGCTTCGATCAGCTTATTGAGTACTGGTCACGCAGATGAGGGGCGCCACGTTGTACTGTCATTTTGACGCGGAACCCAGTGTTGGAAAGCCCGGGCAAGAAAAATGCAAACCGGACAGATCATTCGTCTTGATAGTTGGTAGCAGTTTTTATGAGGACTAGATGACTACCCTGTGATGGACGTACCAGGCACCCAACTTCCGTTTCGGGAGTTAGTCATTGGTCGCGGGTGGGATACCAAAATCGGTCTACTTCGGTTGCTTCAAATCTCTATCATGAAGTGATACAAATTGTAAATTGATGCAATCATCACTGCTTCTGATGTCCCCAAAGCAAACAAACAATGTATACCAGTGTTTCACTGTGATCATAGAATAAGCCTTCTAATTTGAGCTACCTAACTTGGTATGGCCGGCATGAGACTCGAGATAAGTTTTGGTCAACCAGAACGTATCTCCAAGCTGTTCTTTGCTGCTTCTGTCGTGATTTTGGTACTCTGGCTCTAATAGCCAGGGAATAAGGCTACATCTGAACCGCCCATCAGACTCAGGATACCTCTTTTAGCTATTGACGCATGTCAATTCTAAATCAAACATGCCCGCATATTGTGGAAAGAGTGTGACGACCTTTCGGATTTGTACTGGGGTTCCCCAACTTCGACGGTGAGTGCAAGGAGCGTACTGTTCTTATAGACGTCCCAGGAACAGTCGAAATCATCTCTATGACGTCCTAGCTAGATGGAGTGAAGTCGATATGCACCTATTGGTCTTTCTCTCTAAGTCTTGAGACATAAGCCGCCCCTGGCAATACTTTCTCAAAGTCTCGTGATCTCATCAGCCTTTATACATGTATAGGTTGCTCTGATATCTACAGCATATCCGTCCAGTCTTGCTTGCGACTTCATCTTCATACCGTGATGATGTATGGAAATGCTTCAGAATGAACTTGAGGCATCAGCGAACTTGCTCCGCCTCCTGATCGCCTTTCCATATCTGAAGAACAAATAAGGAAACACCATCATTCCCGTAGCTAAGAAGCCCAGAAGTGACGATGCCCACTGGAACCCAAGACTCACATACATCTGGTTGCCAAAGAGGGGGAATGCAGCTATCGACATCTCAGTTCTACCCTGTTCCAACCTTTAAGTTCTTGAGGGGAGACGTACCTGCCGCAGTGCAACGAACGAAAGAATTGGCCGCGAGCGCACTAGCAGCGTATCTGGGATATGCTTCCACCTGTTCCCAGCCGTTAGTCACTTTCCTTCTATGTTATCTCTCCCCTGGTGTTGTGCTACTTACGAGGAAGGTCCAGATTCCAGTGAAAAGAAGAATATTCCTGTAGCATAACATCGTATTAGACCAAACCGTTCACCAAGATGCGTAAACATCCGACGAAAAACTCACCCCGCTCCGAACAATGCTGTACCAATAATCGGAACTATCCAGTGCACCCAAGGGTACATTGACCAACCAAACATGAAGATACCCGCAGGCACAAGCACAGAGCCAAACATTGCGGGTGGAAGCCGGAACTCGGGCTCGCTGCTGTCCGCATTTTCACTCTGGCCCTTGTTCTTCAAGATGAGTCGTACCCTGACTCTAGACCACACCGGGTCAGTGGATAGGCCAAGCAACATACCGACCAGGATACCTAAAAAGCTGAGCCCAATCTGGTACAGGTTGAAGCCGTAGGTCTCCCTGAATACGAGAGGGAAAGCACCGAAGAATAGGTAGAGTATGCCAAGGAGCAAGGCCGAGAACAAGCAGAGAGACAGGCACATTGGCTCAAATACCAGGAGCTGAATGGGTCGCAAGAGCGAGAGTCCGACTGCCCGAAGCACCGATTTGGAATGCGTCTCTGAAGCCGCTCTCCAGCGGTCATCTCCGGTTTCTTTACGAAGCTTTCGGGCCTTGTTTCTCAAAAGTATGGGATCTATCGCGCAGTGTGTCAGTTGCGCCGCTTTCAAGAGCGAAAGTCAATCTTACGGTACGTCTCTGGAACCAGAAACACGATGCCCAACTCTAGCACGAAGGACCAGATTATCAGCACGTAAAACGTCCAGCGCCACCCAGTGTAGTAGTTGATGAACCCGCCGACCAAGGGTCCCAGGCTGGGTCCGATGAACGGACAGATTGAGAATAAAAGCATGGGCGCCTGCAGTTCATCGTTTGAGAACAAGTCGCGGACCGTCCCAGCAGACACAGCTTGGAACGCACTACCTGAGAAGCCGTCCAAGAAGCGGAGAACAACCAGTGTGACGATATCCTTCGCCGTCGCCTGAGGAATCAGGAAGAGAAGGTGGCACGTGGACGAAACGAGATATATTGGCCTTCGCCCGTAGAACTCGCTCAGGGGACTGAACATCATCGGCCCTAACGCAAGGCCGAGGACGAATGTTGACAACCCCAGAGTCGATACGATCCTAGGGTTGTGAAACTCGGCTTCCAAGTTGGCGTATGTTGATGTGTATATGGAACTCGCACAGGTACTTCTTCAATGTCAGCAGTCGCACAGAGCCATGGGGAACAAACTCATCATATATCTTACACGCAAAGCCCCATGACTGAAACCACCACGGTGATCAACCATTTTCTCAGCTTGCCGTAACTTCTTGGACATAATGGGTCGTTATCGCCGTCGTCCCAATCGACCAGAAACTGGCCTTCTTCTGGTGACATATTGGCTTACGTGACTTGGTGAAGTAACGTTTTCGAAACATCTAGTATAGTAACCGTGTTTAGAATTCGCAAAAAGTGTTGATTCGACTCATCTCAGTTGCATTGTTTGCATGGTTTGGGGCACAATATGACTCAATCGCCAAGTTGTCGGGTTTCGATTTCCTTGAATTAATTATGACGAGCATTCGCGCAGTTTTCCGTTGTTCCGGGGCATATTTCCGCGCCAGTCACAACATAGAATTACTAAGCCATGTTCAGGTATGCAACCCTTGACGTAGATCGTTGTTCGGATGCGATGGCCGGCAAGAGAGGGCGCTAAAGCGGAGACGGAGACGGAGGTAAGAGCGGGAATGGGGAACGGAGATGGAGCGGACGTCACCCCTGCCAGGCCCAAGACCAGCTTCTTGTAAGTTCGCACCAAACACCATAAAAAGGGCAAAATGTGTGAGTGGCTGATGAATTAAATCAAGGAATACTCTTCACACCGACCAAATTTTATCATCTTTTATCATGGCACCTCTACACAAATACTTCCTCCCTGACAACGAGTCCTGCGCCTATGAAGCTCTTCGAGCTGCCAGCTATGCCTACTGCGGTGGCGCAGAGCTGGCTGAAGTTATATCCATTTGCTCTCGCATTCCATCAAAAGACGAAGACAGCTGGCTGCGAGAATGGAAGCTAGCCGGCGACCGGGCTGTTGAGACTGCAAAGACGAGCCTGGCCAAGAACAACCGGCGCGGTGCACAGTCTGCGTTTCTACGCGCTTCGAACTATTACAGAACGGCAGAGTTCTACCGACGAGACAATATATTTGAGGACAAGTTGTCCAAAGGGCTCATGAAATTGAGTACCGAGGCATTTTACTCCGCTACAGAACTCATGCCATACCGGACGGAGAAGGTCAAGATACCGTACGAAGGAACCACACTGCCGGCGACGATTATGCAATCGGACAAAAGCAACAAACCGAGACCCACTATCATCTTCAACGGTGGCTTCGATTCTACCAGGGAAGAGGTCTTCTACATGAACGGTCAGGCGGCTCTTGATCAAGGCTTCAACATCATGCTTTTCGACGGACCGGGACAAGGCGAGGCTTTGAGAGAGCAGCGATGATTCTTCCGAAATGACTGGAAGGCCGTGGTCACCTCGGTGGTTGACCTCGCTCTTGACCAGCCCATAGTCAACAAAGACAAGCTCTTCCTCAAGGGTATCAGTATGGGAGGTTACCTTGTCGGACGAGCCCTGTGCTTCGAGCATCTGTGTGCGGCTGCCATCGTCAACGACCGAGTGTACGACTTTGGCAGTGCTTTTCATAACCAAAACCCAGCTCTAGGCAAATTCTTGATACGGAATGGCTGGGATACCATGATGAATGCACTCATGCGTCAGATGATGCATTGGGACACGGGCTTCAAATGGGCGATTTCGAACGGCATGTGGGCCTTTGGCGTTCAGTCTTCAGTTGAGGTGATGCGCTGTGTGAAGGGATACACGCTGGAAGGCTTGGTAGAAAACATCAAGACACCGTTGCTGGTTTTGGGCGCGCTGGAGGACCATTTCTTGAAAGGGCAACCGAAAGCATTGTTCGACAGGCTGCTTTGCGAGAAGGAATCCGAGCACTTTACGGTGGAAGAGGGGGCCATTGCGCACTGCCACATGGGATCCCTGACTAGGTTGAACCAGACAATCTTTGACTATCTACTTCCGCGAGCGCGATGAATGAAGCCATATGATATTAAAAAATGTAGATCTGCTCTTCGCACCCTATCTGAAGAAAGAAACGGTCACAAGTTCTTAAGCTTTTCTATTCGGGCGGGTTGTGGGCATAGACGACAGTAGTAACGACCATAATAAGGAGGATAACAGGGAAAGGGAGGATGGGGAGGACGGGAATAACAGTAATAATACAACCATTAAAGTGAAACGATTATGAGACCTAGTATGGATAGTTACCCGTCTAATTAGAAATATCCGCTTGGATAGGGTGACTTAAAGTTCACTTATCTTTTAACATGATCACTGGCACAAATGGAACGGATTTTGTTCACTGGAGGTTCACTTTTGTCCAGGGGATGTTCGAGATCTCAGAAACGTTGCCGGAGGCGGGTACGAGCTCAGGACTTTACCTGGATGTAATGAACCGAACTTACTAGGTTGGCTGTTCTTGTCACGCATCAAATTGTAAAAAGTAATCATGATCACCATGTTTATTGAATTGAAGATGCATAGTGACCCCGAGTAGAGGCTACATGTACCTTGTAGTACCAGACAAAGGAAATCCCAGCAATCTCAACCAGCGGCTATGAAAGGGTACCGATACGACTTGCTTCTTCCGTCCTCGCCCGAGTTTGCATCGGAACGCGTGGGTTTCTTTGCGGGAGCCAGCAGGGCTACAAAGCCCTTTAAGCACCACCGGTGTTGGTGATGAAGTCCAACTCGAAGTTGTCTCCACCCTTGGCCAGGACCTGGCTAGGGGCGTGTCCTCCAATAACCTCACCGCCCTCAACGTTGCCGTTGACGTGCCAGCCGGTGGCCAAGTCGAGAATCTCCCAGGCAGCCTGCTGAACACCGGCGTTCTGGATGCTGTAGGTGACGACGTTGACAGCGCTAACGATGATGCGGATGGTAATAAGACCGAAGCTTCTAGCATAGGACTGAGCTTGGTTGACAAGGGCCTGGGTCTGAATGTGGTCGGTGTGAAGGGCACGCTTCTGCACCTCCTTAGATCCAGTGTAGCTGCGAATCACTGTTAGCAGGGGTCGGTTACACTCGCACTGATTCACTTACGTTTCCTTGGAGACGTCACGCTCAGCAGGAGCCATGGTGGCATCGATCTCATCGCGCTTGCCAACAGGGGCAGGGTCAACGGGAGGCCAGGTAAGCTTCAGGCAAGCCTCGTCCTCGGGGTGGTTGACAATGCAGTGGCGGCACCACTGGTTGTCGTTGCCCTGGACGCAGTTGCCCCAGCCACCGCAGTTCTCGTACATGTACTGGCAGACAGTCTGGAGGATTCTGTTGTCAACGGCGAGAGCGCAGCAGAGTCCAGCGCGGGCCTCCAAAGGGTTGCTCAGAGCCGGAGAGACGTCATTGACGGCAGCAGCTTGAGCACCGAGGCTCAACGCCGTGATGGCGACGGAAACGACAGTAGAGATACGAGCAATCATTTTGATAGCCGAGTGAGTGAGTGAATGAATGAGTGAGTGAATGTGGTTTGTTAGAAAGAATGACTGTGAGATGTCTGGGTTGTTGGATGGTCTGATATCGTTTGACAAGAGGGCAAGCCATGCATCTTATATCCCATCCAGTGTGAGTGGACTACGGTACAAAGAGCCTCATATTTTCTCAAGTTCCCGTCAGCTATGGAACTTACCGAGAACGAGGAGAATCTGTTGATCTCCTCCGATCAGCTCCACCATTCCACGCCTTGCGCTGTAGTCTACTTGCGACCCTACAAACGGCTCGTACAATCTCATGATCCCGCGTATCCCGGCGTCGGGATGTATTGCGGTAAGGGAAAGTCTAAACGGCGTAGAATAGCCTGAACTTACTGACTAGAGCATATTATACTCCGTAATTTGAGATGAACAAGCATCCCACAACCACCGCAAGTGGGTCATACTTCTAGAAGCGTTCATTAGCCTCTACAACATCAGATCATGACTGGTACAGCCTTCGCACTATTGCCTGTACTGTCACTGCTAACTTTTCTCATTGAAAGTGGACAATGAACAACGCAATGGCCTTCCGTGGAGTTTCAGCAGGAGTACCATGTCTGTTCTACATCATTTGTCTTGGCAAAGAAGGTGTCCAATTTCCATGCGGCGTGTCCGGGCCTGGAACTACAAACAAGCACCAGCAAGAGGTCCAGGCGCCACCGTATTGCTGCGGCTCGAACAGCACCGCAAACTTTGATCAAATCAACGTAGGGCAGACAAATCTTAACGGAAAACTGGAAATCTGATGAATTCCGTCTGAAGACAGATTGACAACAACTTAAGCTTTTGCCAATGATTACAATAGGTCGATCCACAGGGTCTTAAGCTTTCGCCGATGATTATACAAGGCAGATAAAGCCTAATAAATTAGAAATGGTACCACGGAGACACGTGATTACGGGCTTCTCCGACTACAGTTTCACTTTTCTATTGGGAATAACATTCATGACGTCTCCACTTTGACCGGCAACTTCATGGACCCCAACGACGAAGACAGATAGGATAGAGAGAAAAGAAAGGGGCTCGCAAACTTTGCAGTTTAGACTAATACTTTGAGTTTGGATGGCACGAATAGACTAATCCGTTCTCAACTTAGTTGTCGCCGAATGCAGTGCGGTCAAGTGATATCCGCTACAATCAGTGTTCGGCCAGATTCCGTTATACTTTTTCTTCAGCATAGTGACGGAAATTGGGAGGCAGAATTGAGAGCAAGTTGTGACAAATGAAGTTTTCAGAATAGTGAGTGCCCGGTTGCTTTGTTGTCGCCAACATGTTGAGATAGAGCCCAAGTATCACCTCATCACTGGCAACATATCTCCAGCTATAAAGACTGCTGTCTTCCGCACCGAAATGAAGTATACTTCCTCTGCATCACACCACAAGAACACCACTTCCACACTCATTAGCTTTCAAACGTCTTTCGTTTCAATCCACAACTCACAACACTTGTCACTCTCTACTCCTACCTTTCCCAAAGTCATTCAAAATGCGTGAGTATTGCCCTAAGATCCCCTTTATCGATCAACTGAGACATTCCAATCTAACAAATCTTCAGAGTACTACCTTGCCATCGCTCTTCTTGCCGCGAACATCGCCGCTGCCGCCCGCGGAAGGCCCATTCGCGTTGCCTTTGAGGGCAACGTCATCTTTGGGGATAAGACTTTGGACAGCCAGCGTCAGCAGGTTCACGACGCTCTCGAATCTGCTTGCAAGGGTATCGGAGCTCAGGGCGCCGACCCCCTGACGGGTGGATTCGACGGCGAAGGATACCACTTCAAGTACATCTGCAGCTGTGCTCACGGCGACACTGGCTTGCCTTACGTCGTCCGCCCTGACAACTGGTGGTCTGCCCAGGCCACCAACGCCGGCAGCTGCTAAGGGACCAGTGTCTTTGGGTTTCAATCATGTATCACGTCGCCTTTTGAGAGGAATGATTCTCCATAGCTAGTGCCTTTCAAATTCAACATAGACACGCTGGTTTCACTCTATCGCAGATAACCTTTGCTTCAGCATTCCGTATGTGATTGACTGGTCTGACTATTAGCTTACTTTTAGTTTACATGGCCAAGTTATGAGTGAGATTGATCATGAAGCCAGAGTAGGTGTTTTACAGGATACTGAGGTTATCAATTTCTGAGGAAAACGTCCCTCTCCGTATCTAGACGCATGCCCTTCTTATCCACCAACAACTGATGACTACTCCAGCCTTTCTAATTGACTTTCGAATCTGGTCAAGTCCTTTGGGGCAATAGCCTGTTGAACCACTTCGAAGGTGTGACCTCCCTAATCTGCTTCTCCACTTACGTTGGTTCACTCATTCGAAGTCATTCCTGTTCATTGGCCATGGCTTTCACGTACAGTCTGACTCACTTCAAATTGAGACCAATGGACTGAAAGAATAGAAAGCAACCATCTTACACCCATCCTAGACAATCTTTGAAAATACGCTTTTCCTCCCGTTTCTGGATAGAGGCATGACCTTTTCTATGGGCAAGTCTAATGGACATCTCTCCTCGCCTGCAGGATTTACCATATTTCGAAAAGCTCCAAGCTTACATTCGGTCAACTCTTCGCAAAGAAGATGAAAGGGAATCAACAACGATCGGGATAGAAGGGATGATTGCTTCATCAAATGGAGCCGAGCGATGTGAGCATAACTCTACACAAGTTACCATGTTCTTGTCCCTTTCTTCGACATAACGTACTAGGTTGACGCTCAAGTTTCCATCCATTTTCGGGTCCTCTCCCAAATTGTTGTCCAGTCTTGATAGGTGGAGTTTTCTGGAATGTCATTATCCATGCTCTTCAAGTCATACCATCTGTTTTCTTCCATCCAACTATACACCTGTTTGTAATCAGTGCATTGATGCGGAGCGTGCAGTCCTGAAGGTCCACGATGGCGGGGATGAGGGTTAGGATTATTTAGCTGTTCTTCATCCCAGCCCTCGAGCGTTGTATCCGCCTTGCACAGCAGGCTCCAGCGAAGGTAGTCTGTGCAATGATTGACGTGAAAAAAAGTAGACCAGTGGTCGCCGCGTCGAAGGCCTGTTTGGATCTCGTAAAAGTAACGTTGCATAACCCACTGAAGCATTATCAGCATTGTCCCGCATGAAACATGTCGACAGACCAGAGGCAGAAATACCAGACAATGTAGCTGATGAGTTATCGCGAGCTCATAACGGTAGCCGCCATCTGTAGGAGGTTCTTTGCCTTCAAAATCGTCCATCGGTGGCGGAATGCCTGCATATTGTCCGGGGTCGATGACTTTTACCATGCCTCGCCCTGGAGGGTAAAGAGCTTCCCAATTTTTGTACCAGCGCATCCATTCGGCTTCTGTCCATGGGACCTTCCAAATTCCGTATTCCGACGTGGTATTGTAGAATTCCTGGGTTTGGGTGCGGACTATGGTTTACAAATCGGGCTGTCAGTGATGCGAAGCATTTGGTAGTGAGAAAGGTATGGGTTTTTTGCTCTTACACTCTGGAACGGGGGAATTGGCTCGGTTGCTGCATGAGCGATCCGGTGCTTCTGTTGGTTCGCCAAAGCAGTAGGACCCTTTCCACAAAAAGACAGATTGGAGAATCGTGAGAGAGACAAGCATATCAGACAATGTTTCCCTCCGACTTCAGGGCGCCGTCGCCCTACCGTGGGCCTCCAAGCAAAGAGCTAGACGAGGCTTGGGATCTGATTTCCGACCAGGACTTATACTTGATGCGAATGGACCGAGAAGACCTTCGTCGGATCAACAAGTCTGAGGTTATGGACACAGCCTGGGGCTACAGTTACGACCAGGACCCAAACGGTGTCAAATACATATTCGAGGTTTTCCATCAACTTCACTGTTTGGTAAGAAATACAATCCTATTCATTCTGGTCTGAACTCTCGATTGACATCACACGATAAACATAGAACATCTTTCGAAAGTACACTTGGCCTGATCATTACGAACTCGCCCCTCCTGGTCACGAGGATGATGCTGCATGGAGGCATGTTTACTACCGGGAGCACATAGGTAAGCCTTAATAAACCACAACTTGCGATTCGGTCTTCTTCAGAAGCTCACGTCGGGTTAGATCACTGCATAGAATCTTTCAGGATGTCCATCATGTGCAGGGCGGATGTGACGCCCTTGACGGGCAACATCAGGCCTGGCAATGATCATGTTATTCCGGATCCGAACGACCCAAGCACACTCCCGGAGCCTGACTTCATGACGCAGCATACGTGTCGGGACTTTGAGAAGATTCGTCAGTTTGCCTCGGAAAGGAGAGTTCCAAGATTTGATCAACCGCCCGGCAGCACTTAGTCTCATTGGCTGATCATGCCGGGGTGTGATTCACATGTAGATATCGTAGCTGTTATCGTGCACAACTCCTCGTCTCTCGCGAAAGGTGCAACTATCCACGTCAAATATTTGTGCATCATATCGATAATTCTCGCTTTGCTTATCGAATACTTGGCTTTTTGAGGTGCAACCCCGCAGGAGCTACCCGCAGAAGAGGATTGATAATTGTGGAACTGAGATGCTGCCAAGTTGCAAGTCTTGTGCTTAAATAACGGGTCTGAGAGCCAATTAAGGATAGACTGAACGGGTTTATGCAGTTTTAAACCCCCGTAAACCGAAAGCGAACCTAAGTAACTTTATTTTATTAGACTGCTTCCCCCTCCTGTGTTTTCCGACTTATCCGTCTTTCACTTCCTAGCGTAATGGCAGATGCTTTACTGCTGGCGGAATTCACCCTCCGACCTAGGATACCTGTGAATCGCCCAACTCCATCACTCTTCGGACAGCACTCTCACAAGATAAGTGACTCGCAATGGGTGGCAAGGAGTAACCCATTCAGAATGCAATAGTGACTGAAACTCCTGCTACAAAATACAAACTCGACTCACCCAACGTATGCCTTGCCTACCTCCTCGCTTGTTCACACTGTTTCAAGAAATACTGGCATCGCGTAAATCCATCAAGCTTGTACCAAGACACTCCAATTACCAAGCACGTTAAAATTCCAAGACTGGCGGTCGCCGGGCAGATTGGATAGGTAAAGGCTATCAATTCTTGTCTAGGCTGGCTAACATTTACCACCTTCTTGTTGGCGAGTACTTCCGAGTGCTTTATCACTGACGCATATTCAACTGTGTTCCTCACGCGTCTCAGTCGGTCTCGACCTTCTTCGCCGAGTCGGCCTCGTTCGCGTCACCATCCAGCGCCTGGTAAGTATATCCCAGAAGCCGTTTAGCCTTGTCCTTGGTTGCGGCATCTTTCTCAGTGTCTTCGCCATCAAGAGCCTCGTAGGTGTACCCTAAAAGACGGTTAACGTTCTCTTTAGTTGCTGCATCCGCCTGAGACTCTTCTCCATCAAGAGCCTGATAGGTGTACCCCAGAAGTCGCTTAGCCTTTTCTTTGGTTGCCTCATCAGTCTGGGTATTTTCTCCATCCAGAGCTTGATAAGTGTATCCTAGAAGCCGCTTGATCTTGTCGTTGGCCGCGGCATCTTTCTCAGTAGCGTCGCCATCCAGGGCTTGATAGGTGTATCCCAGAAGCCGCTTGGTCTTCGCAGCTTCTGCAACTCCCAAGTCACTCTGCTGGACTATCACCCGTCACATGATCAGCCGAGGGTGATTCTCAGAGGTTGCCTCGTAATGACTAGGAGTAAAAGAACTCACCCGGAATTGCCAAGATCGGAACGGCCAACAACAGGCCAAGGCAAAGGGCTTTAGGGTTAACGGGCGCCATTTTGGACGAGATGGAAACTTCAAGTAACTGTAATCGTGGATTGTTGTAGAAGCTTAGGTGAAACAAAACAGAGAAGAAATGAGAGAGCCTTTTAAGTCAACAGATAGCGTCACAAACGAGCATCGCGGGACATTCTGGTAATGCCGGTCAAAGTCACATTCAAGAAGCTGTACATCACAGACTCACAACCAAACCGTGGTGATTGACGACAATGGAAATTCAACCCTTTGCAGATGGCTAGTGTCAATCTCCGCAGCGTCGGTCTCAGTTTCGGAGGTCACCGGCATTGTCTATGACCGGTAAATCAGTCAAATTGACAACTCAACGTGGTGTTAGAAATTCAAGAGCAAGGTATGATAGATGCAGAGATGCGGACTTTCTTGGCACAGGTGACCGAAGTATCCGTGCAGACGAGGATTATTGCATAAGGCAAACGGCATCGAAATCACCTCTCGCTCGGATAGAACGATGAGCACCAAATAGCTTAGCTCGCAAGTTCGATCTGAAGCCTTTTTCTCTGTGTCTTTCGTATCACTAGAGAGAGCCATATTCCATTCTCTAACTGTATTTCTTCCTCATCAGCAGCAATGGTGTTGTCGAAGTTGCGACACATTCGCGATCGACTGCAGATCGCTGGACCGTGGTATCATCCGGTGCCACAACAGGTGCAAGAAGGCGACAATGAAGAGGCCAAATCGCTTCATTCCATGAGGTCAGATTCCAAAGATGAACTTCGTTCACGTTCTGCGGTGCGTCTAGTGCTATGAATATCTGGCTGACTGAGTGTAGACGAAACACCCGGTGGAGCTTGCGCGAAACGCTGCTTGACAAGGTCTACATCAAGTCTCTATTGACGCTGACCTTCCTGTCTCTTTTCATCGCACTGAGTTGTTGGATGGGATTCGAGCTTTTTGGGCGTTCCGGAACTCGCTGCGTAACGCCATATGTCTGCCGAGAGTGGAGGACTCTCCGCGCTGCCGAGAAGAAATCTTACATCTCGGCGGTGAAGTGTCTTATGGACCTACCATCCATCTTTGACAGCCAAATATCGCATTTTGACGACTTCACATACGCCCACATTACGGCAGGTGGTTCCTCGCACTAAGCAGCCGCCTCCTTGCCGTGGCATAGAATGTTCGTGCATACCTATGAGCAAACGTTGCGCCAGAAGTGCCAATATGAAGGTATTCAGCCTCACTGGAATTGGGTGTTGGACTCAAGAGACCTAAGCCAGTCACCTGCATGGGATTCTGAACTCGGCTTTGGACTGAATGGTGGCTCCGAGGGAGATCACTGCGTTGAAAAGGGACCATTTGCAGGTAGAAGATATGCCTGGAGACACCTTCCTGAAAAGGGCATTGCCGAAATGGAGCCTCACTGCCTATCTCGGTGGTTCAGAGACCTCAATTCCTTGGAAGATGGAGAGAACGACGTTTTGTATCGCAAGATCTACGATCGGATATCGCCCGAGTATGTCAATGAGACTTTGAACGCAGCTGGTTACAGTTCTTTCTTCAAGAAGTTCGAGGCTGGCGCCCACAATGCTATCCCGATGTTTGTCAGGGGCGAGTGGCTCAACTTCACAGCGACCAACGGTATGTTTGTTTCAGCAATTAATTCAAATCGTTGGTTTCGATAAACCTATTGTCTGACATGCTATCCATAGACCCGGTATTCTTCCTCCATCACGCACAGGTTGATCGACTATGGTGGCTGTGGCAGAACCGCGACTTTGATGGTCGATCGAAAGAGTACTTCGGGCCTTCAGAGAACTTTCTAGAGAAGCATCCTCAGAACTCGGAATCTCATTCCATGGATGTACTTCCAATGGGTGGTCTTGTCAAAAATGGAAAAGTCGCTGATTACTTGAGCACGTTGGGCGGTCATTTGTGTTACACGTACGACTAGCAAAAAGCATCAGCAACGAAAGCTGTGTTGTATCTGGGCTCTAGCTATAAGATTGAAATTTTGACTCCATTTGTCGTCAAATTCCATCATCTAAACTTCTTGAAGAGTTTCCATCGGTTGTTGCTGTCGAATATGATCGACGTGCGGGAGCTCCGTGTGCCGGGCGTTTGCTTGTGTAGGATGGATTTATAATTCTACTCGAAACTCATAAACATAGATTAGAATGAACTCTGTCTAATTTCTCCTGGATGTTTTCTCATTACAAAAGCGGAAGCATTATGTGTTTTCCCCATTTCCCGCAACAATGTTACTGCATACATCTAACCAAATTGCTTCGTGCGATCGAGACACCAACGTTTCGTTCCTCCTTCTCAGACCAGCTTTAAAACGCTGAACATCAACATTCAAATTTTCAGCTCAAGTGGCGACCAATGAAATAGGGGCTGGTTACATCCTGCGGTGCGTTACATTGCAAAGGTGTGGTTCCAGCAAACAGCTGAGAACCGTAAGCCAAGAATTGGTAATGGCCATATGGACCACCAGGACCATAAGGCGCGTCGTTGATTCCGATGCACTTTGGTGCACTGTCGCCGATGCTAGGGTTTCCTTGCAAATAGCCGTCCCAGCAGCGTGCTTTGAAGTTTTGGCATCCGTTTGCCGCAGACATTGCGTTTGAGTCGAGGACGGGAATGTTCCAATGGCACAGCGAATCCGATGGATTGCTGGTGCTGGCATCTGTTGAATATGACGACGTCTCGGGCGTGTACGTTACTGGCTGTGCGGCGTCCGACATTCCGACAGTATCTCCGTCCTGGGAATCATACCAGGCTTGGTTGTTGGCATCGAAGCAGGCTGCTGAGCCCAAGTAAACGTCCTTCCAGGTTATGTTGTACTGTTGGTTCTGGAGATTGGAGAGCTCGAAGCCATGATACCATTTTTTAACCTCGTATTGCTCATACCTCTCATATGTGTTCGTGTAGAGGTCGAATTCAGGCTTGAAAGGAGCGTAGAACTTCCAGCCTGCCGCGTCATCGCCCTGATCGCGGTAGCAAGCTTGGCCCGGGACATTGTTGGATGCTATTGCCATGTTGCTGCAATCAGCCTGGTTATCCCAGTCACTCGTGTAGATAAAGATTTGCATGTTCTTCCAGATGCTCATAGCTGCTTTCTCCAGGATATATTGCTGGTACTGTTGCCGGAGGTCGTCCGAGACTTTCGGAGTGCCAGTCTGTTGGGCGGAGAACGCGCCTCCCATGACCATGTCGAGGTATCCGCCGTCCGCAGTTGGATTGCCGTACATTGATGTTTGCCATATCTGCGCCACGTTCGAGCTCATGACTCATTTGCGTGGCAAAGTCGGCTGAGAAGGAGGCGTATTTGGAGTACTGGTCTTCGGGCTTCGCAGGGTCTGGTCGAAGTGCTTCGGAAGCAGTAAGCCCAGCTTCTGCAGCATCCTTGAGGTTTACAGAAGTGAGAGGCTTCCACTTTTTGATGCCGGCCATGAGATTGTCGGCCTGCTCCGCGATTTGTGCGTCGTTCTTCAGCGAGTTGGCAAAGTTTGAGACGATGCTGGAAAGCGGCGTGAAGGCATACACTGCAGTCGCGATATCCAGCCACACGCTGAGTTCTATGCCCCCGACGCCCTTATCGTCATCGGTGGAAGCTTGCGGGTTCAGATTGTTCACAAGTGTTCCGAGTACTCCCTGGCCCCATATCTTGGCTTGGTCGAAGTTGTCTTGCATCTGAGCGTAATAAAAATGGACTTGCTCCATCGCTTTCAAGGCATACCACTTTCGCATGCTGGTGATGGAGGCGTCGGAATGACTGGAACGCTGGGCGGCCTGTCGGGACCGGGGAAGTTGTCGCCATAAGAGCTCCAGGTGCAGTCTTGGAAGTCGGCGCACAGGATCAACTCAGAGCTGGCTATGAGGACTTTCCCAATCCCAAGCGCAATGGGTAGTTGAAATTTGGTCGGATCCGCGTAGTTGTCAGGCATCGACAGTGCGGGGCAATTTTTGACGAGAGTGCTCAACCAGGGGTTGCCATAGACCAGGATTGAGCTCATCGACTTGCCCAGTGTTGTGATCGATGAAGTCGTGAAGATCGTCGTCGTCAAATGGAACATCGCTGATGGAGGGTATGGTGCATTGCTTCAGGTTGTCGTAAGAAAGACTGGTCGTTGGTAAGGGCCCGGCTTCAGTTGTTGCGGGAGTAGGTAGCTTCGACAGAGGACGCAATGCCTGCGCCGTCGGCAGACACATCGACTACTGGAATCGCTGAAACTTGCAGCGCAAGCAATAGGGAAAGAAAAGCGCAATGCATGATTTGCAGAAGAGAAGCGGAAGAGGACGGCTGACCTGTACGTGAGAAAAGGACCACATACAGATGCTGGGACGAAGGTTTTTATACAAAAGAGCCTCTTGTGTAGATGTGACCTTCTTGGCAGTTGGACATCAAGTAGAATGTTTGCAGCTCAGCAGCTTCTAGAGCTAGGGATTTGCGCGTGGTTTCTTCGTGCCTGCGGCGTGAGCATCCAGAACATGGCGTGTTTTGACGCCAGCCACGAGCGACAGAACCACATTGGCCACCACATTTGGAAAAGGGCGTATATCCAGGCAAGACTGAAATGTTTGTGGCTGTCTTGACGCTGCCTGAAGGCGACACAAGACTGCAACTGCTACGATCTTCTGAACATCGGCATCTGGGAGTTCGACGTCTCAGGCCAAGCCCAAAGCTTCCTTCGGCTGCCAAGTGATGCCTTGAGATGGGAATGAGCGAGGGCAAAATCTGGGCCTCGATTCCGGCCGATTAGTCCTGGCAAGACCGGAGCCGAGTGCCGCTTTCGGGCCAGGTCAGCTCAGTCTGGAGCCGCCTGCCACCGTCCCTGGGTGCGGGTGGCTTGAGACATATGTGCCACCGTGTAAGTTGATTCGGCAAGATTCGAACAACCATGCGGGAGGCGAGGGTTTCCCGTCTCTGCCAGCACCTTTTGCTCCAGATAAGGGTTATACTTTAAGTTCTCTATAGGTTCTAATAGTTGGCCAAAACTCTGGTATTAGAGGAGGCGTGACAAAAGGTCAGTGCTCTTACCGAGGAAACACAATCGTGGACTTCACAAGAATACTGAGGACAGTAGTTAAGCACATTAACAACATTCAATTCATCATAGACCCAACCCAAAGGCCGGCCCATCTGTAACGCAAAACCATCTATCTACATTTCCAACAATAAAACCAAAACAACATTAAAAAAGCAAGTCTTCTTTTCGCAGGTTCGCTGTGCTGTGCTGTGCTGTGCTGTGCTGCGCTATGGTGCTGCATCGTCAAAAAAAGGACAACAGAAAGGTCTCCCTCGAAAACGGGTTTGCCGGGACATCTGTTCCTCGTAAAAGCCATCCATCGTATCTCTTACAGTAGATATTGATCTCTTTTCTGTTCATTCACATGTACCACTTTCCCTTCGTCATTCTCATCGTTGCCCATGAGAGTATGAAATCAGAGCTCGTCGTGCTCCGCCGTCTCAGACTCCTGTTCCTGCTCAAACTCCTGCTCGGCCTCCTCAGAGGCAGGCTCTTCCTCGGCAACCGCCTCATCAACAAGCTCTTCGGTAGGGGCAGCAGTCTCAGCGGCCTGCTCCTCTTCGGTCTCGGTGGCCTGGGCAGATATCTCGTCCTCAACGACAGTCTCCTCGGCAGCGGCGCCCTCAACAGGCCCCTCTTCATCCTCAACCTGCCCCTCCTCTTGCTCTTCGGTCTCAGCCTCAGGCGCAACACTGGCCGTGGGCTCCGACTGGATGACCTCCGTCTCGGTGACGAACGCCTTGACAGTCTCGGTGACGGTCTCCATGATGCGGACAACTTCCCTAGTGGTGATGGTCTGGTGAACGGCGACGTGCGAATGGCTCTCAGGGTCGTCAAGCGGGGAAAGAGTAGGCTCAGGCGAGGGAGTCGGTTCCTCAGCACCCTCCTCGACCTCCTGCTCAGACTCCTCTAAACCCTCAACCACAGAAGGAGAGGGCTCGTCAGAGGACGCAGAAGAGGTCTCAGAGACCTCCTCGTCGATAGTCGCAGTGGGCTCAGAAACGGGCATATCCTGGCTTGGCTCAGCGGCCTCCGCCTCCTCGTCAGCCTCAGTAGCCGACTGGCTGGGCTCGACGACAATCTCAACAGGTGTCTCAGCAGAGACGATCGACTCAGTAACCGACTCAACCACAGACTGAACAGTCTCCATGATCGCCGGCTCACCAGCAGCCTTCGACCCCTCATCCATACGGACCTCGGGCCTAATCTGCTCCACAAATTTACCATCCCACTCCTTGACCTCCCGCGGCGCCGGCTTCACCACCATGAACAGCATCAGCAAGCCCATAACCACGATGGCGAGGTTCTTCTTGTCCTGCATGAACACACGCGCAGCCTCGAGGAGCAGCTCGCCGAAGCCGGCGTTCTGAAAAGTGCGTGGCTGGCCCTGTTGCTGGTCGAAGCCGTGGCTGGACGGAGGCGGCGGGGACTGCTGGTGGCGGTGCTCTTGCTCTTGGTGGTAGTGTTCGTGGGGCTGTTCGCGGGACTGCTGAGGCGGCGGTGTCTGTGTATAGTCCTTCTGGGTGTACTCCTCAGCTTGCGGCTCCGGCTCTGGAACGGGCTCGTGCTCTGGTTCAGCGGACGGGGGAGCGCTGTCTCCGTAGATCTCGCGCATGCGAGCCTCGTCACGGAGACGGCGCTCTTCACTCTCATGGTGGCGGTGCATCGGCTCAGGAGAAGGCGACCGGTGCTCCTCCATGGCCGGGACAGACGACGACGCAGGGATATGCGACTCATCCTCGTAGTTGGGCTCAATCATGTTGGACTCCCCAATAATGGAGGGCTCCTGAGGCGGCTCCTCCAGCGCGGGCATGCTGCGGTCGAGATGGTGGTCGTCCATGTCGTGCTCAAAAGCGGACATGTCGTCGTGGTCATTCTCCGTCGACTCGATAATCGTGGGGTTCTCGTGCTTGACCATCTG